TCCTTCTTCACACACACACACACACACACACACACACACACACACACACACACACATACACACCCACACACACCCACACACACACACATAGAGAGAGAGAGAGAGATGGCGGACGAAAGTAGCACGGCGTCTCCGACGGTGGCAGCTGGCGAAGGGGGGCCATCTCGCACTCCGCAGGCCACCACTTCACCTCACCCCCAAACGCCTCCGTCATCGTCTTCGTCACCGGCGATTGGCGAGGGGGGGGCAGGTGCTGAGGAGGGGCAGTCCACAGCGGACATGGTAACGCAAGGAGAAGGCGGATGGGGCCACCTTCCGCGAGATACATCCCAGCGAAATGGAGGTTGGGGGTACGATCCTTCGCGCGGTCCGTACGGGTGGGCGGCCATAGCCGAGACGTACGGAAATCCAAACCTCCGGCCATACCCTCCCCCCCCCAACGGATACCTTATCTCGCTGCCGACGAGCGATGACGAAGGGGGGGGCGGTGGCGATGACGCAGGGGAGGTTGGCGGCCATAGTGGAGACGAAGGAGGAGTGGGTGCAGGCGGCGGGGAAGGTTGTTTTTAGTCGCCTTCGGTTTTGTCCGTTTAGGGTTATATATATATTTTTTTTTTCTTCATGCTTTATCTTTCCTCCGTTTCTTTCGTCAGTACGCTATGCCTTCATAGCGTGGATGGTGGGCGAATAAGGTGTCCGTAGTAGTAGTAGTGGGCAAGAGGTCATCAACGGACCGCAACCATTGCTACCACGTGGCTTTGACATTCGAGGCATGTTCTTTTCATTGTTGTCAATCTGTGTACTTTGTTTGGCCTCTATAGTATCGCGGAATGTGAGTTCGGAATGAAAATGGATATGTCGGCGGCTTCTTTTTGTGTGTTTCTGTGTTTCCTAGTTAGGTTTTAATTTATTGTTATTTTTTTTTTTGTTTTTTGTGGTGAATCTTTTTTGGTTATTTTATGCTTTCGTTTCGGTGCTTGCACTTCACCCCGTGTGAAAGATGGGATGGCGGACCGTCGCATTTCTGTGTGTGTGTGTGTGTGTGTGTGTGTGTCAGTTTCCGTGAATGATGACTGTGTGTGGGTCAGTCTGTGTGTGACTCTGTGTGTGGGGGCGGGGTGTCTCTCTCTCTCTCTCTCTCTCTCTCTCTCTCTCTCTCATGGGTACGACGACCTTGATTGCCTTGATGAGGTCGTAATGAACGCAAAAAAGCTTTCGGATGTTGTTCCCGACGCCTGCGAAGCCCCCGACTTCGATATAATTGGTCATTTACTAAGGTGCATCGTGTCAGTCGTTGTGGTCGAGCATGTGGAAAGGTTAGCACGCAACGCATGGTATTTCTCCAAACTCGATCGGCCGTTGCAACGCCGTAATTATCTCCACGGAGATGTGCGCAGTGTGATGCCAAAGGACGGTTGCGGACAACAGTGGCAAAGTGCCAACGAACCATCATCCCGCTCGTCTAATGCGTAGTCTGAAACAGGTGGGTTCATAACTTACAAAATCATAAAGGTTTTCAACATTCGACAGTGTTCGAAACCGCAACTACCCGCTCCTGCCATATATATGTATACAGGGTGTTCCCCCTCCCCGTACGGTACACGCAAAATATCATGTTTGCGTTATTCGTTACTCGATCGTTGGGTTCATAACTTACGGTGTTGGTTTTTGTGAATTGCAACACTTTTCAAACGCCACACGAAAGAAGCGACGATGCATTGCGAGCCAATGATTTTCCAATGTTACCACACCATAAAACTCACAGGCGGCGACACCGTATACTATTACGAATCAATGACTCCCGTAACAGATCCTGTCGGCGATGCAGTGGGATACCGCAATAGAGACAAGAAGGTGGATCATCATTTTGTTGTCAGCGTCGAGGAGGAACGAGTCGTCACACTCACTACAGAGACTTATATTCGTGACCACGCCATCGAACACCTTCGTGTCCTAATGTCTAAGCCGACCGCGTACTTCAGTACCTTTGTTCTCAAACCGGTCGACGGTGATTTGATGTATGATATCGTTTTCCCCTTATGCATTGCATACTATACACACACTAAGGGACGGTCGCTCGAGACGACGTCTGGGGCCTGATCGTGTCACCGCCCTATTTTGTCTCCGATGGCGAGAATTTTTCTGCCATGTTTTATCCTTGCAGTGCGATCCAGCGATGAGTACCATTGGTTTTTTTTTCCTATGTTTCTTCGTTGTTGGAGAGAGACAAAATGATGGTTTCAGAGATTGTACATTTTGTGTATACATATGCAATCGTCATCTCCCATGTGTTTGTTATATGTTTTCAGATTTTTTTATTCGCATGCTTTGAAATTTGTTTTCATTTTCGTTATGTGGAGGTACAGTACTAAGGTAATCGGTGCCCGTAATGTTCTGTTTTGTAGATTTTTAAAAATTCACATATAAGCGACAGAACAGTATTCACCCATTCTCATACATGGACCGCCGACGACGCAGGGCTGGCGTGCGGGCCGACGCAGTCGTGTTTGGAAATGGGACAGATATAGATCCTTTCCTCGACGAGGAGCTGACAGTCGTCGAGATTAGGAGTCGCTGGCCGGGACTCGCAGCGCTTCTGGAGGAGGTTGTGACTTTTGCTGGCTTGGAGGAGCATCTGCAACAATGCATGAATCTGCTTATTGGTCGTGCAAATCTCGAACCAAAGCAGAATTGTTACAATGGATCTGTCGCTTTTTCTCGGTTGTGTGGGTTCGTCGTTTTTGGACAGAGATTGTCAGATGAGTTCGAAACGGCAATGCGGGAACGATGGCCAGATACAATCATTCGAGGTTTTGAACTACGACAATGTGATCCTCCTGAAAACGCGCGCTCACGTCGATGTGCACGCTCGTAAATGCTTCATGACACGAGAGAGAGAGAGAGAGAGAGAGAGAGAGAGAGGGAGAGAGAGAAAAAGAAATATATATATATATATATATATATATAAAGAGAGAGAGAGAGAGAGAGAGTATGCTTGCCTTCAGTGTGAGTACGTATGTAAGTCCGACTGTGTGTTTGCCTTGAAACTGACATTTCGTAAAAACTGACATTTTTTTCGATAGGCCATCAGGCCCCGTACTTACCTATTATCGTGACTTGCAGGGATTGCATTATGTAAATTTTGGTTTCCTTGGTGTACATCATCTTCTTCTTCTTATAATCCTTGATCTCTCATTCGAAGTTCATTTATTTTTTTTTGCAATTGTATGTCATTGTACCATTACGTATGGAGTCTGAGCGATTCTAATCCTCGCTCTCGCCACTTAAGTTCATTCATTTAGTGTTGCAACAGGATGTCATTGTATTATTGGATGAACGTGGAAATCTGAATTGGTTCGGCTATAGAATGTAAAACAACTATTGCCTAAGAGCGTAAGCATGTGAAGTATGGATGTACGTGTAACTCGACATTGGTCCGATAATATTTATACGCAGAGGAAAAAAAAACAAAAACAAAGCGCAAGACATAAGATGCCATCAGATGTATCAAAATAAATAAATAAATAAATATATATATATATATAAACAGTTTGTCACAGCCCCTCGTTTGTTGTTCTCTTCTCCCTCTCTGCCTACGGTTTACCGGACAGTTCTATTTGACGATATATATATATCGTCACAAACAGAACTGCCCGGTAAACCGTAGGCAGAGAGGGAGAAGAGGACAACAAACCAGGGGCTGTGACAAACTGTTTCGTCGGAGTTTCACCGACTCATCAGGAGGCTATATATATATATATATATATATATATATATATATCACTTCGTTGTCTGACGATTTTTTCCGCCACTCACACACGGACAATCTCAAACACGCCCACACATGCATAAGAAGAGGGGGAGAGGTGACAGAGTCATAACTGCACACAGACAAGGATAAGCAGTGGAATTCAACCATGCACACATGGGGAGGTCACACAATGACTCTCACTCTCCGACAGACTCCCAATAAACAATCACAATAAAGAACCTCAGCAAAATCACAATTGATATGATGTTGATGATGAGCCAACTCCAACGAATATCATAACTGAGTTTGTTCCAGTCCCTTGCTCCCCAATCAATTTCCCTGATTCTACTAATAGAGTACAGTATTCTAACCTACACCTAGACCGGACTGACTAACCGACCAATACCGTTGCAGTTTCGGCCTCTCGGCCTCTACCGGATCCGACTATAGGCTATAGAACCGTCTATCAGCTTAGGCCATTAGGGCCTGTCTGTCGTGGGGGTAGTCCGGGCCTGCTATTCGCAGCAAGGGTTCGTATAGGAAATTCGAAATACTGTTGGGCCTATATTTCCCATATTTACAGATATGACCCTCATGAATTTTCCTCACAGGTTCGTTTCACGGTTAACCCTCGTTCGAACAAAATTACAAATGTAACCCTACGGGGTAGTATAAAGCCTCGCCATCAGTCTTGGCAGTCTGACTGAGCAAAAAATAGATATATATACAGGCAAAGAGACGGACAAAGTAGAATTATATATATATATATATATATGAGATAATATAGCGTAACAAACAAGACACCATGAGATGTGTGTGAAGAACGACATGCTCAATGAAATTTGGATCACCAGACCAATGTCAGGTCAACGATAAAGCCATTGAACCAGTCAAACGCTGAACAACTCTATATTGTCACCCTCAGATTCGGAGCTCGATGTATGGACCCAATCATCGTATGCAGGCACTGCATCATCCTCCACGTGATCGATGATGAAAACACGGTTCTCCCCCACCGCCTCATGGTCGGAACCTGAGGCAGCATCATCAACGACTTCCACTAGGTCGCCCCCACAGTTGACGAACAAATCACGCGGCAATGGCCCGACTCCATAAGGACAAACCTCCTGCCGCAGAAGCTCTCAAGCCCAGTCTGAAACATGAGCCGAACCGAACACTGGCGCCGCCAATCTGTCCTCTCAACAGTCGATCGCCTCGTGACCGTAGTGTCGACGGAAGCCTGGTCTCGCACGTATGAAAGTGCCCGCAGCAATGCGAGCAACATACCCGACCGGGTCGCGCTAGCAGTGACTGTTCCACCGAATCACTGCGATCGACAAACGTGTACAGAAAGACTTCTCGAAATGGACCGACTTCTTCGCATAGATAATGATGGTGCCCTGAAAAGTTTTCACCGCCGATGTGTGCCAAAACTCGACGTAGTACGGCGTGATGTTAGTCCTGCATTGTTTATCGAGAACGCGCACAATGAGCTCGTAGACCGTGTCCGTGCGGCTATACAAAGGCAATCGGGCACGCCCACCGGCCTTCTCGCACAGAACCTCCCTACCATCGACACATCCCGAATGATCACTAGCCCAATGATCGACGACCAACATGATGTCGCGGTGTAGACTGTCGGCGTCTCCGACCTCCTCCCTGAACAGCTGGCAAGCGCGGAGGAACCACATCCCAACCTCATGCGCATGATACTCTGTCAAGCCGTGTGGATCAGTCTCCAACGCTCGAGCATTCAACCTCGATCCGTAGGGGTACATCTTTCGCATGACGACAGCGACGAAATCCGATTTTTTCATCCGCTCCTCAGCAGGTGTGAGGACTTCAGGTCTGAAACGCTGCTCCAACGCCTCCTTTAGCCGCTTCTTCGTGAACTGCATAAACTGCGCCTCTAACATACAGTCGTGCGGGCTGCTCACTTTCTTCCCTTCTTTTAGTTGCAGCATACTGTGGAAGTGCTTGCAAATGTTTTTTTTTTTGTGGTGGCAACCTTTCTGCCACTCGATGTTCATAGCTCGCAACTTTGGTCCCAGCGCGGCACAATCATCTGAGACAACGCACCGGATTTTCAACCCCTTGTCCATCAGGCCTCGCAAAAGTTGCACGACGGCTGGCACCTTAAGCGCATTCGATGTCTTGCCTTCAATCTTCAGACGGAGAGTGTGAACACCCACAACAAGCCGAGTCTCGTACTCCATCGCGGTGACAGTGCAATGTTGCGCGTCTCTGGCAGAGTCATATCGACCATCAACCATCAACCATCAATGTCACTGACTCACCACGGCGCATCACAGTGTCAATGGCAAGCTCGCAATATTTTATGCCCTGCCGTACGACCTTCGCATTCCACCCCTCCGCCCCCCCCGGTTCTTTGCGCATAAACTTGTAGAATGTGGGTTTGTGCACCGAGCACATCCCTAAACAAACACAAAAGTTGTCGAGGAGCGTGAACGTAAGGCCGGCGATGACCGTCGCATGAAAGAGTTGCTGCATCAGTCGCGACTGATAGATGTTCGTGGTCACGAGTGTCGTGTGCCACGTCCATTTGCATTTCTTGTCACATACGAACATCAGCTTACAGAGTTGCGCAGGATAGGAGACGGACTCAACAGACACACGGCACGACCCCTTGTGCCACGGGCAATATAGATGAAACATAGCCTGCAATTGAAGAAGTTTGACCGGCTCCAGAAACACAACATCCGGCGTCGTCGGTCCACTTCACAACGCCATCACCTCCTCAACACTGGCATGGTCAATTTCAGGCCCAGGACCACACTGCTCAACACCGTCCCAACTATCCGACCACGTCTGCGGCTGGGCAGGTGTAGGTGTGCAGTGACCCGCGCTGCGGGGTCTGCCGCGCCCTCTGTCATTGCGCTGCGATGCGCGACGCGATGACGGGAACGAGTTTTGTGATCCGTCATGAGACTCCCCCAACCCTCCGCTCGCTAAACCCTGCGAACCCCCCTGACCGTAGTCAACACCGGAATCGCCTGACATATAACGCAACTTGAAATCTCGACCGCACACCCGAGATGGCAACGAAGAAGAAATCACATCTGCTGCATCGTCACCAAACTCCGCATGGATGGCTGGCAAGGATCAGTGGAGCAGCCGATCAATAACGTCGCTGATCGGTCCGCGTTGGTCACCCACATTGGCCATAGCGTCGCGGAGAGCGTACAACCGTCTCCAACACGCTTCCCGCACACACACTCGCACGATGCTGTTGTCGCCCGAACACGGCATGCCGCCGACTGCCGCAGAGCTATCCATATCGTCAAACGGAGGTGTGAAATTTGGAGCGACAAAGGGAGCCTGAGGAGGCACCGCAAACGAACCCGCCGCCGCGCCGACGACTCGTGGACGTGAAACGGTTGGACAACGCCATGCGTCGCTGCGATCTCCTGAAAGAGAACCGCCTCCAGCGGGACACGGCGGGGCCACCGCATGTGACCATACAGGTGCTAAAGGAATTGTGGCCACATAGTCCAGCCGTCTGGGCAGCAGTGGGGATGGTAGCAACGGACCACCATACACACCTCCATACGCGGTCGCGTCTCGAACCCCGGCCACACCCGGCGGAGAAGCCCCCAACACACCAGCGAAAGGCGAAATGGGTGTCATGCCCGGGGCAACGACGCTGTCAATCGCATGGGAAACGGTACCGCGGCGACTTTTCCCCAACCGGACCTCTGGACCACGGCTGTGCGGTGAAACGCCCAACAACCCCCGCGCTGCACATGGAGATCGATCCACGCTTTGGCGAGGATCGGGCGTCCCCTGCGGAGATCCCGCAATGAGCGATGATCGAGCGGGGACAGCATCTCCGCTTGTCGGTAACATTGTCAATGTCAGGGTCTGCACAGCACCGAGAGTCAGACAAGCACGAAGTAAGGAGAAGGCTATATATATATATATATATCGTCAAATATATATATATATATATATATTCAGTCAACGGAAATGTGTGTGTGTGTGTGTGTGTGTGTGTGTGTGTGAGAGAGAGAGAGAGAGAGAGAGAGAGAGAGAGAGAGAGAGAGAGAGAGAGA